ACCAGCTAATGCAATTCGGTTCGTTTCCGATTGTTCGGTTGGATTGACGGCCTTTTTTCTTGCTGAAAAATAAGTAAACTACCCGTTATATCTACCATAGATCTTATATGGAACTTCGAAAATACATTGTAATATACTTGTATTACTCAAATAGTATTTGAATTTGTTAAAAACAACAATACTTTGTAGCAGAGACGGACTGTCGATTGCTTACTTACATTTCTTTTCAACCATGTTGAAATTATTTCACAGTTTCTCTTTGGTCTCAAATTCAATTGATTCAAAAATGTTAGTGTTGACGTGATTAGTTGAAAATATTCAGAATGCTTTATTCATTTATTTTTAAAAATTTTCTTCACGATTACAATGTACGTACACTTCCAAAATAGAGCGAAAATATTGTGTGCATTTGACATTTACTAAAAATTCCCAATGATTGTTCCTTTGTCTCTTTGATAGTAATCGGGCATGCGCGGGGTGAAAAATGTCGGATATTAGATAATGTATAACGCGTATGTAGGGAAATATTCAGTCGGTTTATAGTCGCAGAGTTATTTCTCCATGAATTTCCCCTTACATGTTTTTCATTGTCAAATCGCGAGAGTGAGTAATGCATGCGCCAAATATGTATATTCGTTACGTCCACGTGCTTGCTTCAAACATTTCAACGAAAAAATTAGGTTGAGCTTAAATGAAAGGAAATGTTCGTAAATATTGAACCGTGTGTGGTGAATAATCCCGAATAGGAATATCATCATATTTTAATGAATCAATGAAAGTTAGATGAGAACTCGTTTTGTATTTAATTTTGGTTTTATTCACATTAATTTTAATGTTATACAATGCGATTGGTCGACTTTATCAGCTACTCTCTAATAATTGAATTGGTATTGTATTTTGTATTTCGTTTTTTTAAATTATTTGTTTGGCTTTCTTGTTTGCCACGACGACTACAGTTTGTCTATGACAATTATCTGTTATCAGCGACAACTAATTGATGCACGTCATTGCTGCATTCCTTCTTAATGTTACAATGCCGATTGCTTGGTGTTGCGCTCGTACAGTGATGCCATCGATGTGAAATACATACACTTGAACACGATTCGAATTTTGTCGAATTTTGGCAAGAAAGTTCGGCGCGCGTAATGCGAATTGCTTCGGATAAGTTTGCCAATGCCTTGGTAGATTTCCAGTGCCGTTAAAACTGCGCGTTGACATTCGTCCGGCAGTAAATTGATTGCGCCCGTTGCTTCATTAGCTAGATTGTCAGCAATATCGAGCATCTTTTCGGCGAACTGTTTCAACTGTCCATTCGGAATCTTATGCGGACTTCGTTCGTCGACTAAATACTTCAGTTCATCACTTTTGAAGTAATTATTTGGTATGTAGCAACGGCCTGAAAGTCAACAATAACATTGTTAAAAAAAAGCTGAACAAAAAATGTTTGTCTATCGTATTTACCCAGTGTTTCGCTGTCAATAATAATATCACGGCTGATGTTGCAAATTTGAAGCACCTAAAACATTGAAAAAAACAGAGTTACAGCGTTACAGGTGTAATGAAACCGATACATGCTATAAAGTAGTGATCAAACTAACCAAACCCATTTTTCTCGCGTTCTCAAGCATCGAGCGGCATTTTGGACCCATCAAATCAGGCCATTTATAGCTTTTATGACAAAATACAAATGTGCAGAGTGTAGCAACGCTACTTGCCACATACTTTGAGTATTCAATCAAGTCATTTTCATGGAGCACAGCACGACCGTCAATGTCCCATTTGTAACCTTCGACCAACTCATAGAATGGCTCCTGTGGCATATAGTACGCAATGCGTGCAATGGCACGGAACGATGAAAGTTGCTCTTTGGTCAATTGCTTTTCGAAATGCTTCCAATCGATCTTTGGATCCGAACTGGTGGTTTTCCAGCAATACTCTGATTTTATTTTTCGATTCGAGAACAATTGATCCAAAAATTCCAAAATCACACGTACTCGCTCTTTCTTCAATTCAACCGAATGTTCATTGTCAACCATATCGTCCGTTACGCGACAAAATGCATACAGTATTGTTAGGTCTTGCTTAATATCTGGAATGGATGACGCATTGTTTGCATTAAAAAGTTGAAAAAAAGGGAAGAAAAAGTTCAAAATATACATTTTTCTATCATGAAAAGAATGTGTTTATAAAAAGAGTCAAATATTCACCATTTGGGAAGCAATTGGCAGCCAAACTAAACGATTTCGATGCTTTGTCAAGAATAGCGATACATGTTTTTATATCGGTGATTACGGTGGTATCGAAGTATTGTTCATTGCACACCGGCCCTCCGATGAGCATTTCAATGTACCCGAAGAATCGTTTTTTCGCGCTAATATTCGATCCAACGGGGAATGGTTCTCGGAAAAATGTATCAATGACAGCCTTCGAAAGCATGTGAGCCCATCGCAACGATAATGTTGGTCATGAAGAAAAATGTAATTTCTTCGAGTGGTAAATCGTCGACGAGGAAAATTTCTAGGCTTGTCGCTTCATTGATATGCCAAACTTGTGCACGCAACGCTATCAAATCCACATAGCATAGGTAGAGCGATGGCACGAGGATACTGATTAATGTTTCTCGATATCGTTTGATGGCATACGGTCCACACATGTACCATAGAACAATGACAACGAGCAGTGTCCACCATGCAATCGAACCCATGTAAAATGTTTTTGTTGCTGGTATTGCATACGTCCATCCCGTGATCATCAATACCAGCAAAATGGTTATCGTTGTGTATCGTATCGTATAGAAATTGACACGATCGGAATGTTGCAAATAAAGCGAATTCAACGTCCAGCGTGAGCAAAACGTTGTCCAAAATGCGGTTAGAATGGTTTGTATGATGAAAAAGCAGTATTCTTCAATCGGTACATAGCCAATGGTGCCGATAACAGCGTCTTTGCGATACCACCATGCTTTGTAATAGATAATGTAGTTGTCCCATGGCGTCGTATAAACCAGTGCCAATGTGCACAAAGTCACGATTTTAATCTCATCAAATCTGCCGATTAGAGGTCGCATCAACAGATGAAGAATTATTGTTGGCGGCAGAAATCTACATTAAATGTAGAGCTACTAATCTGCTTTTTTTTTCTAGATACTTTTTGAGTGATGAAACGAATTATGGTGAATTTGAATTTTATGCTCATATTTTTTATTTAATTTAAACCAAAGGCAGTATATTTCAAAAAAGAAATAAAACCAAGATCTTGTAATTCATTTTGCAAATAAATTATTACTTCAATGTTACTTTGATGAAATACATTAAATGTAGTGCGCCAAAAGATAGTTTGTTGTGAAACAACAAAATAGATTAAGTAACAAAAAACTCAAGAACTGCGGTCTTTTTTTTTCTCCCAAGAATATTTTAAGAGTCTTCAGGCCATTTTTTGGACCGTAAATTAATTCATTCCAATATCCATATTTTTTATTTGAAATGAAGGAATTACGCCTAATTGAAAAAATGAAATAAAATCATGTTCATGTAATTCATTTTTGAGATAACTAAAAAAAATTTCACACTTTTTTCGTTACCAATGTGAAATAATGTACGATGATTATTCACATTGGATGTACATAAAACGCATAAGTGAAGAATACAATATCATCATATAAATTTATTTAATTATTTTTGACAATATTAAAATGATTTTTAACTTAAACTTGTGATGAGAAACATCAAATTAATTAAACCCCTTAAATTTACAAGCTTCAAGGATGCAGAGCGGAGCGAAGCGACGATCTGCGGTCTTGTTTGTATCTCATTCGGTGGAGATTCTTGCGACTTGCAGTTCGTACGCATTACTTTATCAAGGTAATTAAATTCAAATCTACGGCATCATAAAATTCAATCAGCACAGAAGAGCAACTGCATTAGTTGGCCTTTGGAATTGACTACGGAACGGCGTACAACGATTCTTTTTGGTTTGTTTACACAGATGATGCACATGCTCGTCGGACGCCCGTCGTAAGATTATGTTAAATATGTAACACGATAGCTACTAGCAACATCGCATGACCACAGGAAATTACAAACTCCTGCCACAAACAATACATTAGAGTCGATTTGAAATATTATATTTCAGGTCAGGTCCTGACCTGGTCCAATACATTCTGGAATTAAAGTCCTTCAGCGTTATTTTGGCCAAATTCCGCTCAGATCAGCCTCAATTTGAATTCCCAAATCTGGAATTTTGTACTGTGAACTCGGTAGCTGCTATTTCAAAATATCAACAGCTATCGCATACATAGGGGTATTGCAACGACCATAAAATATATGTATTTCATCAAGTTTATCAAGCTCTTTCCAAGTTAATGCATAGTGTCGAACTTTTGTTCAAGCTCTACCATCTAAATGTACAGTAAAATAATATACGGGCACGACGTAAGATGGCGTTTTTTCTGGTCAAAAAAGTTGCAATATCCCTTTGATCGCATATAAATAGCAACTACTAATAGCTCGAAATATAGGCATATGATCACGGCGCACGGTAACGTTACTGACGTTTTTCACATGCTCATAACTCCGCTATCATAATAGATAACAAGAAAGAGTTAGACATAAATTCTAGCTAATTATACTAAAATTCATTTAATACAAGGAACTCTACAGTCTGTGTACTTGTTATGCTAAATATGTGCAAAAGAATAAGAAGGTGTTAAAAAAATGTATGAAAACTTGCGAATTTTCTAGGTATTTTTCACACGCTTATATCTCTACAAAAACCAAAAAAAAAGTTCCATTTTATGATTCGATTATTGTTGCCCCTTACTCGATCTACATTTTTTGTCTTCACTCTTCTGAAATATCTATGATAGTGGCCATGTTATGAGCTCATTTGTATGTCAGTAACGTTACACCTCCGTGGCCGTGACCATATACAAAATGAGAGCTCTGATCGATTTTATTGGTTTTGAATGAAATAAATGAGACAGAAATAAGTTTTGTGAATAAAAATTACGTGATATTCCCCTAGAATGTATATTTAATATTCAACCACTTTCAATGTACAACCAATTGAGATTTGCTTCTAAAACATCGTCTTCAACATCGATATAAGCATCTTTAATATATAGAGAAACTTTGTGATGGCGATCTATAGCCAAAGCCACAATTGAGCTGTATTCTTTTGAATCAATTGACAATTCATCTATCCAAAGTGCGACATTTGCATTTCGAATGCTTCCTAATATTTGACATATTCCTGGTGCAGTTGCTTTTTTTAAATTTTGAACCC